CATTCCTGGGTGTAAAGTTGCTAATCCTCTTTCCAAAGGAATTCTTTGTTCTTAAAAGCACTGGAATTTAATTTGCTGCAGACCATGCTCAGATTTATTTGTAATGCTTGTCTACAAGTTAATCAGCCAAACAAGCGCTGTCTGCTACTGTTTGGCATTTAATTTAGCATTTCTTCTCTCTCTCTCTTTTTCAGGATAGTAAGCAGCTTATAGGAAGTGGTAGGTGACAAACTTGGTCTATTTAGGATTAGTATATTTTATCTAGACTTGATTGAAATTGTGCTTACTGAAATTGATGAGTCAAAGGGGCAGCTGCAGAATCTGCCCAGATTGTTATTATTTTTCTTTTTAACACAGTTGTATGTTTTTAGAATGCTGCATAAGTTTTCCAGTTAATGTGAGGGAGGAGGTATCTTGCAAAAAAAGTAATACTTTGTCCTCATCGTTTTTGTGTTATGTACAAACAAGACCATGTAACATAATTTTTAGTATTTTTTTTCTTCCTAAGCCAAGTATGCTTTTTTCCTAATTCCCCACAGAATATTTGAAATACCAGTGATCCCTAGTTCAATTATCTAATAGAATTCTTGCATTTAAAAAAATCTTAACTGAAGATCTGCTTGTTCGTCTGTGGTGGCACAATACTGTCCTGCTGCAGGCTGTGTGGAAATTGCTAAGCACAATGTTGATATTTTTGTTCTCGGAGGGTTTTGTTGGAGCTCAAAGTCTTACACTACGGAATAGAAATATCGGTATCTGACAGAAGACAACAGTGAGGAGTCAAGTTCTTTTATAGTGATTAAAAGCATACAGGAGGTAAAAGGATGAAATCTGAGAATTGGAAGTAAAATTAAAGCTAAATGAATAAAACTGGTTCTTGGTGAGATTTAGCAGCTGTTTCTTTCATACTGGCATTTGATTTCTCTAAACTTGTATTGGTGGCTACAGTTCAGCAGTCTGAAGAGGACAGTAAGCAAATTATGAAAATGTTGGGGCTTTGAAACTTTTGTCATTTTCTTAATAAGTGTCAACTTACCTCTGCAAATATTCTCTATTTGATAATTGATTGTAAATTATTAGTATAACCATGAACAGACAGGCATAAATCTGGACATCTGATACTTGGAGACTAAATGAAAGTTTTCCTGGCTCTTTTATGCTATTTAGAGTAGGTTTTCTTGCTCTTACCTAACTTTCATGACATATGAATTACCGCTTTGTCTATGCTGTTGAGAAAGAGGTTTTAAATTCTGGAATTTTCAGGAGTATAGAAATTTAGCTAGGGATAGTATGCATGTATTTTACCAATGGATTAAGTGGCACAAAATCAGTCACTATGTGGTGTGTTATATTTTTTCCACAAGGGGGGGGATCTTAAAATTGGTATTTTGCTGAAGAAGAAAATAGCTTTTATTGTTTTAAACCATGAACAAGTTACTGTTTGCTTTTCTTGTTTGTTGGGAAGGCAAAGCCTTAATGAATATAATGTAGAAAATTGAGTACAAAATGTATGTGTATTCTTTTTCTCTAGTCCAGTGGTTGGTCATCTCTGATTGTTTTTCTATTTTCCTTTATTGTGAAATAATATTCAGTAAGGGGGATCAATTGGTGCCCCTTGAGCTTTTTAGATGCTGTTGCATATTAGACATAGATTACCTTTCAGCATGCAAACTTTTATCATGTATTGCTGGTTATGGTCGTTGATTGATTTTAGGGATATCATTTGTTTTTAAACTATCTATGGAGTTAATAAAGAGTATCTAAAAGGGTAATAATATAGCTGAAAAAAATTACCTTAGGAGCTAAGGAAATGAAGACCATGGAGGTTATAGTCATTTGAGTGGGGTGCTGCTTATTGGAGACCAGTGCCTCTGCCTGCTCTTGCTGTTTTTAGAAATCAGAGGTACACTAGATGCTTATATGAAACTTAATGGCAACTGCTGCTTTGAAAAAAATTGCAGCTCAAAGCCTCAGGAATAAGAAAATAACTCTTAAATCTCAATCTTTGGTAAAATACAACTGGGTGACAATAGTGGGAAAGGAAGAAGGGTAAGATTTGAGTGAAATTATAAAAATTAGGTCAGAGTTGTGACTGATTTGTGATAACGTACATACACAAATGCGTTGTGCATGCATATGCATATACTGGCTCATGTTGTAGAATATCAACATAGAAAGAAAGCTGAAAGCTTTGGGGCTCACCTACTTGCTGGAAGGACCGCAAAATTAAGCAGAGAATGATAGTATAAAAGACAGTGAAAGGTGAATAGGAAGGAGGTGAGGCAAACAATGCACCTGATGGCTACTAGAAGTACACTGAAGTGTGTGGTAGTTTGGTGGTGTGAGTGTCTTTTGAAGTGATGCTAAGTGGAAGCGAAGCTGTGATTCAGAAGGCTGTGGGGGGAAATGCAGCTAAGTTCTAAGGCTTCACAGAGTTTGATAAGGTAACAGTTTGCAATGTTGCTAGACTGCCTTATTAAGCTTTTGAAAGTCTGTTCTCATTTGTTCTGTGGCAGGTAGCTAGAGAAGAAAGCCTCTCGGAGACAATACCTCCATATGAGGTAGCTTTGGCTGCTCTGTAAAGTAAAAGTCTATTTTATTCTAGCTGTGCCTGGAGATTCCTGAGCCCTTGAAGTTAGGCTGGTAGATGGATGTGCTGGTAGATGCTCTTTTGCTTTCTACTGGGAGCAAGTTCTACCATTGGATGCTGTAGTACATCAAAGGATGATTTAGTCTTCAGTTCTTAATTGCACCTCAACTGATAAGTTGGCTTTTATCTTGTGTCCTTCGAAGGTGATAATGTCAAAACAAAGCTGGCACAATTCTCTTCTTGCCCCTTACCATAATGCCACATACTAGCTAGCTTTCCCTTGGAGCGACACAGCATGACTTCTGTATCATCAAATGTAGCTCTAGTTGCTTAGAATTTTCTTCCCTTACTTGGACAGGCGGTTTAATTGCCTTTTTTCCTTCAGTTTTGTTTTTCATAAAGTAGAAAGAAAGAAATTTAAATCGATTTTACTTTACTAAATTAAACTACATTAAGACTAATGTAGGCTAAAAGAAAGGGATATGAATTTTCAGTAAATGGGATTAGGGGAAAAGTACCTTCTAGAAAAATATTTAGTTTTCTTCTAAAATGTTGTGTTGTTTTGAAAATATCAAATTTTCTCCAGGAGAGAGGTCTTATGTAATTCTTCATATGTGTTGCTCCAGAGCTCCAGGTAGAGAGTCAGGGAGAGTTGCTTGGCCTAGTATTCTTTTAAGTCTGGTATATAAATGGTAAGATAATTTTCTAGAGCCTAGTCTCCCAAATCCCTCCAATCCACAGCTTCTTACCTGTTGCCAGAACTGGACAACTGGAATTCCTTTATGTGTACTCAGTTGTTGACTGCCACTTGATTAACATGGTCAAGCTGATGGCTGAGAGCTGGATGGATGTGAAGGTCATCTGGGAGAGTGGGAATGAGAAAGAAAATGTTACACCACATTGGAGAAATCTCTGAATTTTACACTGAGATATCATGCTTGCAGCTTCTTTACCTGTATGATGGTTGAATATTTCTAGACTCGCCCTTTTTCCTTAATTTATTATTCATGTTGAATGCAATTATCAAAATACTCTCTGAATCTGCATGTAATTAACTCCATGTCCACACTTAGCTCTTTCTGGTAGTTACAAGACTTACATATCGTTAAATACTGTAACAGTCCTGCAGCAGAGGTTCAATCAAGCCCTTCTGTAAATCTACTTAGCATAGTCTAAACCACATTGTCATGAAGTAGAAATTAACACTTTACACCTATGGCTAAAGTATGCAAGGTTTTAAACTGGTGTTAAATGCATTTCTGCACTGTATTGATAAAATCATTACACCTTAAACTATATTTAATTGGACAGCAAGATACTTAGGGAAAAAAAAAAAAGCCAAAACCAAAACACGCACCAGATTAAAAAAGGGTGTTGGGTTACTGGCATTTTCAGTTAGGAGTTTGTGGAGTCCTCTGATAGGAAGTAGAGGTTGGTAGAGATGTTCAGTTGTTTTTTGTTGTTTGACAGAACTGTATGGCAAAATTTTTTAGTAGAAGACCAACCTGTACAAGTTTGCTACCACAAGAGGAACCTCCCTTGAAAATGGCAATGCATAGTGCATGGCTTCACAATTCTTCTAACAAGATTTTAATTAAGTGTGATACTTTGCTCATCATCTGATCTCATACTAAGTATGTCATTTGTATTTAACATTTAAATATATCGTACCCTATCGCATATTTCAAGACATTTATATGAAGAGTTGAAGGACAAATGGTTGTGAAATATTTTAATGAAATATGTTCCAGCGTGAATAAATGCAAGAAACAGCATTTGCTGCTGAAATTGAAGACCTGACAAAAGAACTGTTTTGGCTGAGTTTAGTGTACAGGAATACAGCTATCAACAGATGTCAAGTTAATTCAGGAGATAAATAGATTTAAGCAAAGAATTGTGACATTCACTGTCAGCAGACCTCAGGTTACCAGTTGCCACTGGATTTAATCTACCATAAAAACAATGAGAATATTTCTACTTGATAGTGAGAGATTACAATCTTCTTTCATCCAGATTGCTTTTTAAAGAGTCTACATCATAAAATTGAGTCTTGCTGGTTTTACACTGGAGATAAACTAGTGGGAGAAGATGCTTTCT